TTTTAGCGGAATTTCTTCTCCGATCTGTGGTATGCGCCTTGATATTATCTATCACACAAATAAAGTGACCAACATTTCTTGCCGAAATACGAACGCTATAAAAAACCGGTTTGAATGTTGCTCTCACCAGGAGTCAAAACTAAGTTCTACCGGGCGGAAGTTCACACCTCGTAGGTACCACTTAACGAGGAGTCAAAAGATATTCTCTGTCCTGGACATAACATCCAGTGAACATTATGTCTATTCATTCATTTATGATGTAAGCCGAAGAAAAAGGTTCCGGACCATGAAATACTTGCAACACAACTACAACACTGGTCTGATGCGTAAGCCAATCAAAGTACTTATAAGGAAACTTAAGTGCATAGATGAGCGTTTTCCGTTAAAGGAGGGCCAAGAATGATCACTTTCCCACAGGATGAAAAGTTTTCCCGTACATTGGCTAAATGAGGCGTGTGATCTCTTGAATATCGTTGAAATGAAGGATGTGGTCGAATCTTTCCGTTTCAATTCGCACTTTTCCAATTAGACTTAATATTTATGAACTGGTTTCTTTCAGTCTTAAAAGGTGTTCACATGAGGCGATTTTACAGGAAACTTTTAGTTTAAAGCAGCAATCGTCGCCGTTCAACTAATTGCTTCCACTGAAGTTGGGAGGTACCCAACTTTTGATTCAACCAATCGCCTCTAAAGTTGCCTGTAAAATCGCCTCATGTAAACACCTTTTAAGACTGAAAGAAACCAGTTCATAAATATTAAGTCTAATTGGAAAAGTGCGAATTGAAACGGAAAGATTCGACCACATCCTTCATTTCAACGATATTCAAGAGATCACACGCCTCATTTAGCCAATGTACGGGAAAACTTTTCATCCTGTGGGAAAGCGATCATTCTTGGCCCTCCTTTAACGGAAAACGCTCATCTGTGCACTTAAGTTTCCTTATAAGCACTTTACTGGTCCAATAACGGCCGCCCCGAGCAACATCGACCCTCCAGTTGTCGATCGCAAGATCGCATTAAGGGTGAAAATATAAGCCTTCGTATTAGCCATCTGAAAAGTAAATTTGTATAAAATAAACATTGCACTTAAGCAGACCACGCACATAGGGTTTCTATATATTTCGGCTGCAGCACCATCCATTGGGTAAATTTTCTGCAAAATAAGCGATATGAGAAATTCAGTTTGTATGGGAGGTGCCATGCTCCCTTTTCCAATACCTGCCGCTTTTCGTCATGAGCACGGTATTAATAACATGTAGCTGTGTAAAATTTCAGGATGCTAATTTAAGCGGTTCCAGGGCTAAGCGATATGAGAAGTTCAGTTTGTATGGGAGGTTCTCTAATGCTCAATGCAAACTCAACGCAATTAACCCATTGCCGCACACTGGCCATACGAGGACACCTCTTCACATAGCCACATCTTTGTCTTAAACATCGACAACTGATAATAGTATTTCAATTATTACATATATATGGCTCAAGTATATGTAAAAAAAAACATTGTGCTTGTGTCAAAAAAAGCGTAGTTTGAAGCTCTTCAAAGTTAGCCATTTCACTGAGCCAATTTTTCTGGAGTATTTATATATATTTGTTGGGTATATTGTAACGCTAAAATTAAATATTTTTGCTGAAATATTAGGTGGAGTGTGCGCAAGCTTTTAGAAGTGTTATTGTGTTGAAAATTATCAAAAGAAGATTAAAAAGGCATAGTTTTATATAAATAAGTACCGGATTTGATCTACACAAGTCGTTGTAAAAATTTAAAGCATTGGCACTCCCACTCTCATTCCGCAAACTGAAGATATTGTCGTATAGAACCAGGATTTCTTTTCTAGAATAAGATATTAAAATATCACCTTTTTAGATACAATTTTCATACCAAACATTTTGTGTTTTTCGACCCGCCCTAATGCATATCACAGTCAGATGTATATGCCATGTCAACAATCCCATAAGTTGTCTGCAGTCCCATCTGCTCAATGATTGGAGCGGGCAACGTGGGTTTTGCCCACCTGCCCACCTGCCCCCTGGAAGTTGGAAAATAATTGAAAGCGTATTTGCGTCGCATAAAAAAAGTATTATTTACTTGAAAAATCAAGAACCAAATTGTTTCGCTCTGCAAATCAAATCACAAATAAAAAAAAATATTATTTATGATTTAACTTATTCAAAATCATACAACCCTGATTAAGAGTCTGATCTACAATACGACAGATGCATAGTTGATTATGGGTCTTACCATAAGTCATAAGTACTAAGTCTTTTTGTATCCAGTATTTAGTGTTGTTTAAGTTTCTAATTACTTCAGTATGCGGTGGTAATCGACTCCAAACTCTCTTTGTACGTGGTGCTTCGTCTGTTGGAACTAACTACATACTTTTTACTTAAATAGTATTTTGTGCTTTGAAAACACCGTGCGACAGTAAATTTTACACACAAAAAAAATAATATATTCGCAAAAATGTGGCCATATAATAGTAAAACTGCGGAATTAGTTTTTCTTTCTGAGTCAGGATTTTTTCTAAAAGGACTTTAAAATTAAAACATAATTTAAAAAAATTATTTAAAAAATTCAGTGCAATATATGGGTATCATATCAAAGAAAAAATTCTGTAGAATTATAATGGAATACATTTTTTGGTGCATAAGGAGGAATCGGTATGAAAAATGTCCTTTACAAATTTCGTCCTTAAATATCCTTGAAAATTTGCAATATATATATATTTTTTAATTCATGTTTGAGGACTAATATACGCACAACCTCATCACCGAATTTCGTCCGGCAAACTTTATTAACTTTAAAAAAAAAATTATTAAAACCGTATTTGAATATCTATTCATCCATGTAAACCAAAAGACTTTATTGTTTTAAAATCCCCCAGAATTTTATCTCTCATTTGTTACCCATATTGTTATTCTACATACATTCAACTAATTTTTTTAAATATTTGTTTGAATTAATTATATCTTTAAATTTTAAAGTCCTTTGAAAAAAGATCCTGACGTCAGAGTGAAAAACTAAAAACGCAGTTTTACTATGTTGTCCGATAGCTTCGTGACTGTATCGATTCTTTCTTGTGTTTCGAATTTTTCTTTTTGTTTTTGTCGCACGGTGAAATAGGTAAATACTATCACACACATAATACTTAAATACATTTGTAATTAGTACTCAGTATATGGTAAATACAATGTTGCCCATGACTGGTACATACATACATATGTACGTAATTGCATTGGTGTACCGCACACTTCAGCCGTTTAATTAAGTGCCCGGTGAATTTTCGTACTCTTGAGTGCAAGTAAAAATTAAATCTCTCATATATGCTCATTCAAACTTACATACACACACGAACATATCGTTACATTTATATAGAAAAGCCTTAACTAATTTTCTTTCGAAATAGAGCGTTGAACCAAATTCGTTAGACTGCTCTTTAAGGACTTAACACCAAGGACCGAAAATAATGATTATTTCAAACATTTCAATAAAAAAAAATCAAAAGGTTCAAAATATCGTAGAACAATTTCAAGTATATAAATGTGCAAGTTTTTTCATGCTCCGTATGAATCTCTTACGACTTCAAATTGTTTGAGCGATTTCTATAAAAATTATAACTAAGAATAACATTTCGATTTTATATTAATCGCTCAAAAAAAAACATCATATATCGAGTTATATCGTCATAATCAAAAATAAAATTAAATTTAGTTAGGGTGAGTTGAGATGACTTGAGGTGGGCTGAGTTGAGGTGTGGTGAGTTGAGTTTAGGTGAAGTAAGGCGTTTTGATTTTTCGATCTGCCAAAAAAAAAATAAAACTCAAAAGTTAATTTTTATTTCTGAGAAAAAATATAACTCTCAAGAAATGAGTTATATTTTCGATCAAAATAATAAAACTTAAAGAATAATCATTATCTTTGATGAAAAAAATAAAACTCGAAAAGTAATGATTACTTCTGATGAAAAATATAAAACTTATAATAAAATGATTACTTTTTGAACAAAAAGAAAACAACTCACAAAATAATTATTATTTCAGAGCAAAAAAGTAACGCTCGAAAAATGAGTTTTATTTTTGATCAAAAAACTATAACTCAACAAATGATTGTATTTTCTGAGTAATAGAGTAAAACTCAAAATGTGATTATTATGATTGATCGCAAGTATTAAAATCTCAAAGTAATGATTAAAAGTTAATTTTTTTGATAAAATTCATAATGATTACGGTCCCTGCATAACAGAAAAAAACTCAGTGCGTGTAGTCCCTACGCGCGGAAGAAGTGAAACTTAATAGAGGAAATTCTTCATCTTCATCTTCATCTTCATCTTCATCTTCATCTTCATCTTCATCTTCATCTTCATCTTCATCTTCATCTTCATCTTCATCTTCATCTTCGAACGATACAGATTTTATGACGTGGTGTTAAATATTTAACGCAACCATCTCCGAACTCGATTAAGAAGTTTCACTTCAATAAAAACATAGTTTCAGTGTTTATTAAAAAACTTTGCTTTGAAGAAATAAGAAATTTAGTTTTTATAGAGTTGTATAATTACGCTGTAAAGAAACAAAAATATTAGATAGGGTCTTTCCATGCTAACGATATGTGTAGTGTACATTGTACACACGTACACGAATATTATTTATGTATTTAGTAAGGTAGACGGAGCTGTTTCAACTCGAGAGGATTTTATCGCATTCATTTTGAGGGATATCTTTCCAGCGATTTTCCACAATTTGGAATCGGGCCATAATAAAGGCGCTACAAAGCAAACCCGATTTGACTGCTTCTACCTTGTGACTCGAGAGATGATTAATTATTAAGTGTTTTTACGGGACCCAGCATAATGTACATACATACATACAGACAGTTTTATATTGAATTATGGAACAATTGAAATTGATACCAAAATATGCATGCATACATTTGAACATGGATATAAGTACATATATATATAAATTAAATGATTTTTCATCAATTTTGTATATTTTATTTCCAGGTGAAGCAGCTCGGCAACAAATCAGTGTCCTGGGTGCGAGTTCGTGATGGTCATATACTCACCGTTGACAGGTAATTAAACTCTTTATAACGTTTACACGTTTTATATTGATTTGGTTGTATTTTTGTTTAGGTGCTTCTACACTTATAGTTCAATTTAGATAAACAGGGTCTTATTGTATTGATATACGGTCAGACTTCGAACACCAAGAATGAAACCGGAAGAAAGTAGTTTTCTTCATGTTGATGTACCGAAAGTAAACATTTTAGGATTTTTTTTTATTATTATGCAAACTTGTCGATAAATCATTGTATAACTCTTAAATTGTTTATCCGGTTGAAAATCTCTTTGACGCAGATGATAGCAAATTTAATAGCCTCTACTAAAACAGAAATTTAAGACTGGCCACATACATTCAAAGAAAATAGCAATCAGATCTCGAAAATCCGTAATTCGACTATATCTCCCTGTAGTGAAATGTAGTAGTTGTAAACTACTTCACAACTAGTATGAACCGCATGCCCAACTAGTCAGCCAACTATCTTTTTTCCATGCAATCAACTGGTATTTTTAACATGGGGATGTCCTACGAGCTGGAAATTGTCAGATTTCGGACAGAAATATACCAGTCCCATACTAGTTCAAAATAGACAGAAAAATACTAGTCCAATTATGGACCAATACCAATACTTTGGGAGTCAAAAAGTAAAATTAATTCATGAATATACAATAAAGGACTTTTGATTAAGTACACTTTAATATATTACACATTTTTATTTAGCAGCTTTAGATTTGTCAATAATTAATTTTGAACTTTTTGGGTATAAATTAAAGGAAAACTAGATACGTTTTTAATGCACTTTTCAGTAAATGTTATATTTTTATCTTTTCTTAATAATATTAAATATGCAATAGAAAACATTTGAGTTCAAAATAAAATAAATAGTTTAGTTAATTTTCGACTGAACTTAAATAAAAATAAAAGTTTTCATTAAATTAAATTAAATTGATTAACTTTACACATTTCAGCACTTTCTTTTTAAAATTTCAATTCATGAACTATTAAATATTCTTAATTTTTGTCTATAGTTTGGCTTTGTGGTCGTTCATTGACTTTAATCAAAATGATCAAAAATAACAAAATAATCATGTAATTAAAATTAATGAATAAATAAACAATTTTTAATTAATTATTACTCATTAAAAAGGTGCTCGTATTGGTATTTAATCATTAAACGGTTATCCCAAAAAAAACATGCTTTAATTAATAATCATTAAGATTATTAATCATTATTTGACAAGTCTGGTAAAATTGAATATGTACTCGCTTTAATGGTATACAATATACCCAAAATAAAGAATAAATCGCTTTCTACTTGGTACAAGTCTATCTAAGTAATTTTCGAACTAATTCGGTTTCAGTCAGGAAATTCTAGTTGTAAACTAGTATTTTTCCTGATTACAAGCTATTGATCACAATCAATTTCAATTTCAATTTGTAAAATTGCAGTTTTTAAGTAAATCGGTTAGTTAACAAAGGGCATTCAAGTCAGCGTTTTCTTGAAATGAAAAGTTTAATGCAGCTCGGTTCATTTAAAGGAGCTCCGTTGAATTGGTTCCCTTCGGTAATTAACTGATTCACATATGTTGTACTTTTATTGGTTGATATACATAAATATGTATATATGTATGTACAACAATTTATATGAATTCAATTGGTCTTGCATATAAAATGACGGATATAAAATTATCGTTTTTTCAAGCCGTTCAAACTTACATTGCAATTAATGGGAATTTATTAAATTCGGTTGTTTTGAGTGTACATTTCCCTGAAGCGCAACCATTTCAGTACCAAAGGCACACTAACCACCTTGGTAAAGCCGAAACCTACCTAAAATCTCTGCTGTTCTTTGGGTCCCGGCACCCGGTTGAAACGCAACTCCACATTGAACCCTTGCGACTTCTACCCGCATTTAGGAATTAAACCACCGCCCCCGCGATTCTCCCCGAATACGTACCTCAGTCTAGAACAGACTGGAATAGTGCTCGCCAGCCAGACTTGCTTGACCAGCTCGACTCACGCGACTTACTAAAGTTACCAAAATACACATGCTTGACCCCACAACTAGTCAGCTTCACTTTTCCGCCATTGTCAAACCACTGACACTGCCTCCCTCAGAGAACTGCTCTACCTTGTTGCTACCCATAAACAACTTCAATTATCATACTGCTCGTCCTACTTCGCTCACAAGTCTAACTGATCTCATTCCACCCCGGTTGTCCCGTCCGGAGTGAAAATCGAATTTAACCCTTGTTAGAGTCGCTTGTGTCACCTCATTCATACTGCTCGTCTCACAAATCTCGCAGGTCTTACTAGCTTTACTGGGGAGTAAACTACAGTCCGGGATGTGAAGGCATGCAGTATTACTCCTTTTCCGGTTTTCTACACCCGCTCGAGTTGCTTGACGAACCACATCTTGCAAATCTAACCAGCTGTACGATCTTACATGTGCATCAAGCTTGTCTTTCAGCCTAGTTTGTCTCACTAGCTTTGCTTATCTAGCCAACGAACACACTCCAGGGGCATCTGTTCCCCGCGGGTTCCTTTTTTATTTAGAAGTCTTAGGTATGACTTTCGAAAGCCATAGACTCTTCTGCCAATTGAGGCTCCAACCGACTCAGGATTGGTAGCCTTTGACTGGGGTACCCTGGATTGTGACACCCGTAGCCCCGCTAACGCGGAACCCCCTGGGTGTGGCGGTACGGTAATATCCACATAGGAAACTGTGTAAGCTCATGTCTTACACAGGTTTCCATGCGGAGCCTCCCTCTTAGTTCATGCTGACATGGAAGTCCCTAAGATCTCCCATGTCACTACTTAAGATCAGCCCCTACGGCAAGGAGACCAACGTTTGGCTGATCAAAGAAAGTGAGTGCGACGAAAACGTTCGAATAGAATATTATAGACCATAAATTATGCAGAAAGTATATACTTTCCAATATTTGTAGTTCGGAGATCCGCCGATTAACTTTCAATATATACGTTATTCATATCTTTATCTATTTATTTATAAAGTTCTTTAACAGTAATTTAAAGGCTTAACGTGTCTTATTTTAGAAGAAACAACAAACAAAAATAAGATTAATATGCATTACAATGTCAGCATCCAAGTGAAATTGTATCATGCAAAAAACCGAAGAAGATTCACATCAATAAAAGAAACGTTTATTTACAAAAGATGAAATTGTTTGCCAAAAATGGCTGCAAGTTGTATATATGGGGACTCTTTATTAATTACAGAGTGAACAGTAATTAACGGGTTGACTTGGTGAAACGATCAATACTTTAATGCTTTTACCTAAATTTGTGTCTGAAAGTTATTTAAAAATCTTTTTGTTTCATTGTCTTATTATTATTATTATTATAAAAATTTGAAACTGTAACACTAAAAAAATAGCTGATCTCTTGACTTGATTTTGAAACCACACTACTTTTAATCTACAAGTTGTGGAAACCGTTATTTCGTTAATATTTTAAGATGCTTAAAATCGAGATTGCTTTTATGGGTACATTGAACTTACCTAGTGATACTACACATATAACCCAATTTCTTAGATTAACATTATTCCAAAGTAACTAATGGCAATTTCGTTTATACCAAAAAAGGTTACTTTCCCTTTGCCCTCTAGGCACAAATGCTAAGAAGAGGGCAATGAGAAGGCAACATTTTTTATAGAAACGAAAACGCCTATATTTTATCTCTTTGTGCATATATTTTATCGACGAATCGGGTTATTTTGAAAATTTGAATAGTTTCTGGTACATATTTACAATTTAGATCGGCATATTCCTGCCCAAAGGATTGCGAAAGGGTTCATTGCATATTAAAACTGTATACTTAAAATAAACAAATACTTCTTAGCCAACTAAATATAGAAATCGAAGATTTGAACCAATCATTGCTTGAATGGTACGCCAACACCATTTAAAGAGCTTCTTGTCAGAAATTTCACTCATTGGGACCTCTGGGCAGGAATAGTTTGAGTAAAACTTTGTTGATCACGAGTTCCCACCCTTTTAGCCTTCCTCGGCTCCGTCGCTGAAACCTACTTAGCTATCACTCGGACACTGAGTTCACAACGTTGGCAATTCGATGATATATGCCAGGACTAATTGAGACTGAGCTCAGAAGCTCCAATAATTCCTCGTTTGAGAAGTTATCGAAAGATTCGGATTTTCCTATTTTAAACTTAATTTAAATTTTCTGCTCTTTGTCTACTATTTACTCATTTATGATTTGTTGAAACAAATGATTTATAGCCGACAAACATTACCTTGGCTTCTCTATCACTATATCTACCTACTATAATAATAAATGTGACTAAATAAAACTTTTGTCCGCTTTGGAAATAATCCAGTATATTCTTGAAATAATTGTCATTCAACTTGGGAAGGTGCATAGAGTGGTAAAAGATTGTCCATTAAATACATCCAATTTTCCATTAAATGTAGATACATTTTAGGAGTATTTACAATTCATTTATCAAAAGGCACTTGTCAACCCACGTCTGCAGTATCGACCTAACTAACAGTTGTACAATCTCTTTACTCTATGTACGCACCTGGCACACCTACGTACGTACATATGTATTATAGATTACCTATGTATATATTTATGTATGCATGTATAGATGATTGTATGCTTTGTTGAGATATTATTTAGTATTCGTAATGATAGTGTTTACTACTGATATGGACATACATAAATGTATGTAATTAATTGTAAGGAGCTGTCATTTCCGATATTATAAAACACACTACAATTTTCATAATAACACTTTTGGTGTTGGCATAACCGCATATTTGTGGGCAGGGTGCGTCTATTGTTCGAGTAAATAACTGAAATTGAAACTGCATTTGTATAAGACGACTCAACTATTCATAAACATCTAGGCCTGGGTGTAAATATTTATGTATGACTAGCTGGAATTTGCCTTTAACTAATTTCATTATTATACTTAGCGGAATTTCACATACATTATTTATTTTTTTTGATAAATACATGTTTAC